TTCATAATAACAAAGGGTGCTACTTTGTGATGCACATCAAAATATTATTATTATTATATTATTATGTTAAAGATGTTTTAGTGTATCTGGAAGTAGTGTTTCTTTAATGTGTTTAAACATTAGAAAGTTACACTATATACTAAGACAAACATTTGATTAATTGATGTTAGATATAAATTGTACTTTACTGTTCAGGCTTATGTACAAATTCCACTTAAAGACAGACTTAGAAATAAAACTCATTCGTAATCCAAGGCCTGCAATAAGTGCTCAATAAATATGTAAATGAAAATTTATTTTTTGATTATTGACTGATCTTCCAGTAGCATATCAGCTCCAGGAAGAACATGTCTGTGTTACTGCTATATCCTCAGCACCTAGAAGTGCCTGGTGCAAAGTAGATGCCTAATAAAAAAATTGTTGCATGAGTGTATTAATGTTCTATACATACCTTACCTCAACTTACTCACACTGAACTTAGTTGTTTTCTTCACCAAACCTGCTTTTCCTTCTGTGTACTCTGGCTTATTTAATAGTACCATCATACACCTGACACCCAACCCAGACATGAACTTATATTCCTTTCCCTCATTCACTACTTTTTAAAAAATACATTTTATTGAAATATAATTTATGTACAGTGAAATACACAAAACTAAAGTGACATGGGTCAATGCATTTTTTTTTTTTTTTGCAGTGTCCTCTCCCCTCCCACCCCTGGTAACCAACAAAGTAAATTTCCTTTCATATATAAACGTTTCCTTGACTTTTTACAATAATGAACTAATACTATATTTGTCCTTCTGCAATTGACTTATTTTACTCAGCATAATGTCCTCCAAGCTCATCCACATTATGTGGTGTTTTGCAGATTCTACATTATTCTTTAGGGTTGCATAGTATTCCATTGTGTGTATATACTGTTCTGTTGATGGGCACATGGGTTTTTTCCATCTTTTTTGCTATTGTAAATAATGCTGCAATGAACATGGGTGTGCATATATCTATTCTTGTCTTTAGGATATATACCTAGAAATGGGATTGTTGGGTCAAATGGTATTTCTAATTCCAACTTTATAAGCAATCGCCATACTGCTTTCCACAGCCAGTCACTATTTTTAATTAGTTTCCAAACCTTACTTATTCTACCTCCTAAATATCCCATTTATGCGATCCTTTTCTACCCTTGTTGCAACTACCCTTGTTCAGGCCTCATTTTTTTTTTCCAGACTAGCACAATAGCCTCCTTCCGTCTTACCTACTTGTAGAGCTAAGAAAGCTTAAGCTACAGGGCCTGTTACTTGCCATGTGGTCACACAGTAATACATTTTATAAAGTTTGCAAAATATATTTAAACCACAATTAGTTAAAACTGATGTCCCTTTCTACTGAGACTCCCTGATTCACACTTTCCCTTGTAGTAGGTAGTGTTGGAGATAACCTCAGACCCTTTTGAAATCCCACTAAAGGGAAGTTGATTTGGGGGAGATACATTTGTATTTAGTGGGACATATATGATTTGAATAACTTCTATGTATAATTATTGCCCATGTTTAGGAATGGCTTCTAGAAATACTGTTCACCTTTGAGCCCAAGTTTATATTTGCAAGTCTATATTCTTTTCTTAAAAAGACCCCCAAACCTCTCGAAGAGTATGAAGGGATGGACACTGGGAGGAGGTAACTATGGGGAGGAAGTGGGAGGGGAGCTGCTGCATTGTAAATTTTGGTC